AACTTTCTCCGATTTCACGTACAGGTTATAAAACAAGGGTTCTCAGCTTCTAGTCACAAGTTTCCTACTTCTACTATTATTTTAAGCTTCTAGTTTTCTAGAGATTCTCCTGGAAAGTAAGCTTTATCAGTTACCAAACAGGGAGTATACCTTCCTTGACTTCCTTATACAGAGATAATTAGTGCTTCTTACTAATTTCGCAAGTGATGCTGGTATCCCTCCAGTGATTGTATCGTTAGCAGGAGGATGGACCAGGCCTCTTTCGAGTTGGACCTCTGACTACGAGAGCACACGCAGTCAGATGAGTTGGTTTCAACCGCATGGACCCTTACCATTGAATTTGAGGTTTGGCCTTCTTCCCTGGTTGATGTCTTGTGTGTGTTGGTTTGTATGGAATGAGGAGACTACTCTCCTGCAACGGTTAACTCTATGACGGGTTGAGAGGATAGGATCACGTTTTGTTCAAATAGAGGAGAGAGGTGTCAAGGGCAACGCCGTGTTCATTGCCTCCAAAAAAAGTTGGATCTGACTGAAAAACAAAAAATATATATATCTAAGTATATTAAAATATTATATATAAGAAAAGTCTTCTCAACGCCTATAGGCGAAAATTAACAGTGATTTTTCCTACCCTCTTCACCGTTTAAATCGCACGATCACGATTGTTCGGTAGTGTTTCATTTTTCTTTTTTTTTTCTACAAACCAGGATAACCTGAAATTTGGAGTGTGTGTACATCTTAGTGAAGCACACCTAATAAAAATATAAAAAACATAATTCGTAAAATTTATCAAAATACCCCCGAAACCTTTCGGTGGTATTTTGGTCAATTTTTTCATGTAAAATATTTTTTTGATATTTTTTGTAGATTCGTCTACTTTTTATGAACACACGCTCCTAATTTCAATTTATTCTGATTTGTAGAAGAAAAATGAAAAATAAAACACTACTGAACAATCATGACTACGATGAATTTTGGACAGTGATGAGAGTAAGCGAAATCACTGTTCATTTCGCCTATAGGTGTTTT